CACCTTCTGGTAGAAACAAAGGAAAGCATGAGGCCTCATATAGGAATACCTGGCCTTAGAAGTGGTAGACAAATTGTCTACGTGTAACTGCATTGAGGGCAGAGAATCTGTAGATGAGCTGGGATTTGGCCACTGGTGTGTGTGAAGTTGAGGAACATGACTGCACACACTGCAACTGGGAGTGAAACCTTTTAAAGGGCGATAAATACACAGGAAAAGAATAGGTGGAGCAACAGAGCCCTGAGCCTGCAAACTGAAATTCCGTGTTCAGTCAAGCTGGCGTAGAGGAAAGCATAACTGGTGTTCTAATTCTGGCAAAGAGGGAGCTTTTTTTTTCCAGGCTGGAGATCAGTGCCCTGCTCTCTGAAAGGCGGACGAAGAGCAACATGCGCTGCTGCAGCTGATGAACAGTGCCACCAGCTGGCCCGCTGGAAGAGCGCCAGTTTGCACACTGCAGGAAAACAAAGTAATGTGCATCATCTACTCACCACCTTTCACCCCAGAAAGTCTTCACAGTCAGACTCTGATCCTGCAGCCCCTTTGTCAAATACAAAGGGGCTGTTCCTGTGAGCAGCTGCAAGAAAGGTCCTACCCACAGAGGTGCCATACAGCACTAGCTTACCTAAGCTTCAGCAGGGTCCAAGGAGAAAACAACTAACGTGGGGTATTCTGGTAGAGCTAAGAGTGAGTGACACAGGAAGGCTTCTTCTAGTGTGGTGCACACCGGTCAGCATAATGAACCATGTCAGAATCAGGCCTGAAATTATTAAGTAACCAGATGGTGCCACAGGGCCACTGTAAATACAGCAAGTGAGATGTGTGTTGGCAACTAGATACTTGAAGACATGCTTTCCGCTGCTTGTGATTTCCTACTGGAAACTGAACTTTAAACTGAATTAAGCTTGGCACATCACAGCCTCTCTGGTCAAAACACCTATTAGGAGAGCCACTATTGCCTGGTTGTACTAAAAAAAATCCTAAAAAAATATGCTAAAGCCAACAGTGCAAGCAATGCAAAAAACCAGGAAAGTTCTGTTCCAACAGAGTAAAGCCAACATCAAAAACTCTGCATTAAGATTTTCTTGAAGCGAATCAAAGAGTCAGGGGACCTTGCACACAGCTTTTGGGGCAGCAGTAAGGAACTGGTTTTGCCCAATAGCTGCAATAAAAATGTGTAATAAAAAAGCAGTCATGGAAAAGGAAAGGTATCATTTATAAAGCCATTCTCAAATTTTGGCAGCCTTGCACACCTTTGTCAAGAACACTCGTCAGGATTTTGATAGACTGTAAGAATATGATTATGTGGCTAAATTTTGTATCCAAACAAATGCAAGGCAAATGGACTTCTGGGGAACTAGAACAGTATAAAAAGTTTGCACTATGGGGTTGTCATGCGGAGTTGTTAATGCAGACAGCTTCCTTCCCACTGAGACGCCTACGTAGGCATGTATACGGTGTTCCCAGGTAACCACTAAAAAGCTGACTGAAAACAGGTACAGTGAGACAAGGGATGAAATTTGAAAGGCGGAGGTGGGGGGGGAAATATGGCTAAACAATACTATATTCTAAGCCCTGGCAATAACTTAATGTAAGGGATAACAACTGACCATCACTGAATGTTTAATTTTCCATCTCCAGAACAGACCTGGGATTGAACGAACATCCTTATCCAAAGACTCTTTGAACTCTGAAGCAGTCATATTCCTCTCCAGAGCCACTGACAACATGTAAATGTTCTGGTCAATAAAGGCAGAGAGATACAGGAGTGTAAAATGGCTGTTTCTGAAGTGGATACATACAGACTGTCTGTGTGATGTTGACAAGATCCCTTTTTGTGTGTTTCTTGATGACATTACTGCATCCTCAGGGCTTTGAGTCTGCTGTTGAAGATGAATATGGTTGAGAAGCAGAGGAAGAGCCTTTATTCCTAGGGAAGTAGTATCTAATAAGAAGTGTCAAGGAAATGCTGTCAAGGAATGCCAGACAACACATCCACTAAGAGATTCACCAAGGAAGGTGGAATGCTCTGAATACTATTGACTTTGCTTCAGGTTTATCAGTTTCTCAGAATTGCTGACAGTGGCAGTATAGCAAATTCATGTCTTTCTAGAGAAATGACAAAACAGAGCCTCCTTGTAGACCTCCGTTTCCGTTCCTGGAAGGTGAAAGCAATGAGTTGGTTTGTTATATGAGCCTGTCCTAGCACACACCAACTCCACTGCGTGCAGCCAAGGAAGCAGGTTATCACCTGCATGGAGCATTGTAATTGTTTCTTCACATCCTCACTTTTCCTACTTTCTGAGTCACTTCCGTTATTCTAAAACTCCAGGCATTTCCCCCACAGATTTGACATATACAGGCAAGTTGATGGCTGTCAGCAGAAGACTAGCATCTAGTTCCAACAAACCCTGAGAGGCAAACTGAATCACGCTAATCTGTCATTATCACCTAAGATGGTAAGTCCTCACTGTGGAATGAGTACCTGGATGAGAGCAAAATCAGTTAAACCAGATTTTTAGCTGGATTGTGGCAGGGACTATGAACCAAATAAAACATACTCCAAAAGGATACATAAGAGTGGGGATGCCCTGTGTTGCCAAGTACTTTCGGATGAGCCGCTCAGTACCATACCAGTTGAAACCTTTTGTTGCATACCCAATACGTGGAAGATGCACTGTTGCTGAGAAGGAGGGAACAGAGAGTATGCACTTTTTAGAACAAGATACACATATAAAAAGCAATCTAGATAAGGACTTCAAGCTGACCAACAAGAACAGAAGAAATATTTTGGAACACAAGGTATTTGCCATGGGGATCTCACTCTTGCTTCACTTCACAGAAAAAACTGTACAGGAGAGGTGGAAATTGGTCATCATCTTTAGGTGTAGTCATAGATGTAAGGATTCACTCTTCCATTGCACAAACACTTACCATTCCTTTTTTTGGCAGCTAAATAAATCTTCTTCAGGCCCTTTTCCAAAGCAGATAGCTTAATGCCAGATAAGTTGTTGGACCGATCCCGGTGCTGAGCTACAATTAAAGCCAACTAAGGAGAAAATACACAAAAAATGAAATGGAGTCTATATACAGTGCTAAGAGACACAGTGACAGCTGCTGGGAAACTGTGTTACTAGCTACTAGCTTTAATAAACAAAAAAAATATTTCCTTTTCTCTAATATTTAACTGCATCTTAGCCATGTTCAGTATTCAGTGCCATTATTACTGGGAAACAGACATAACGTTCATTTCACAGAGCTTCAAAAACACGTGGACAAAGCAACACAAAAAGGAGCTTCTCATTCTCACCAAGTCTCGTCCTTTTTTCCTGGATTTTTTATCATCAATAGGGAATAGCAGGGTTCCTCCTAACTCCAGGTCTGTCCAGAAACAAGAAAAGAATGAAGAAATCAGTCCTCAAGAGTCAATGGTGAGTCAATGCAGCAGTGATTTCACTGTCACGTTCTGCATTACTCTCCTTGGCTTGCTTTATCTCCTCATGATGGTTTCAGCAAAGTCTGTCCCTTTGCCCAGGGAAGCAAGACAGATGTTACACTGTTCTGAGACACACAGACACACACACACACACACACATCCCAGTTAAAGACAACAAATGGAAAGAGAGACACTGGAACATGAAGAAAGCATCTCTCAGGAAATAAAAAAAAAACAATAGGTGCACCTTACAGCAAGATGTGCATTCCTCACCACCCGCAGGTAGCTCAAAACTGCTAATACATGCTCAGGAGCAGATCAGTGCTTGGAAGGAACCAAAGTCTGAACTGAGTACTGCCTGAGGTGGCTTATATCCTTCTTAAAAGCACTGTCAATAACGAACAAGTTCATTTTTTTCTTCTTTTTTTTTTAATGATTTGCAATATGGATCAGAATGACCAACCCCTATGCAGAGTCCGCACACTCCAAAGAAGTCCAGCCAAAGCACCTGCTGTTTTACTACTTTCAGAGCTAGGGATACACATATCTAGAGAAAGAGGAAAAAATGCAAGTATCGAGGTATCCAGGCACCACAATCCTGCAGCATCAGTGGGATTTAATCTCTATAAAGCATGTTGGCCAAAAGTCATGTTTTAATCTCTTACCTTTCATCTTTCCTGCCATCTCATATATTTTCCTTGGCTGACTGGAACGAGCCTCCAGAGCTGTAAACAAACCACCCTTTCCCCAGCGGCCGGAGTCATCTAGAATAAAACGACAAGTTAGACTCCTTTTAGAAAGTGAGGTTGAAGACCACCCCTGCAGGAAAGGGACCTGCTCTGTACAAATGCAGTGAATGATTATCAAAAACAGATGCGGGAACCACACATGATGTGAAGTCAGCCAGTACTCAAGGGACCATCGTACAGGTTAAACCTCAGCCCTTGAGAAAAGCAAACGTGTCACAGTTCCCTGAAAAACTCTGCTGAGTTTAACATAAGCCAAAACAAATTATAATGTTTTGCTATAGCCCTGGTCAGAGAACAGCTCCAACACTGGTTCAGGAGGAACTCCATAACCTGAATTTGTCTCCCTCAGCTTTAGTGCCTTAACAGAGGTCCTCAAATTAGAAGACTAGCCTAGAGCCTCTGTACTGTCAGTATGGAGAGACAAGCACCAAGATAGAGAAACTCTGACCTCAGCCTCTGGAAGTGCCTATCTCTCTCTGCTGACTTTATAAGGAGGATATTTTTCAGTATCTCAGTCCAATCCCTACAGCTTCCACAGGAGGAAAAAAAGGCCCTGTTCTCAGAAGGAACTGTCCCAACTTGGCCAGAGACATAAAATTTCAAGCCATCCACGCACCTTTCAAGGGGCTCATCCATAAATCCAAAGAGTGCAGGAAAGATCCAAGTACACCTTGCTAGCATTTGTGTGGGTTATACATGGTGAAGTAAAGGCTGTATTGCCTCTGCACCACTCAAGATTAAGTCATGTTCAAATCCAAATTATTTCAGTCTGGATGATAATTAGAAACTACTGAGCTAGTAGGGACAATTCAACCCCCTTGTCCACCTCACCCAACAACATTCCTGTTGTCATAAGTCCCACCTAGGCAGTGAACAATGATGGCATCCTCCTCTTCTGCTTTGGGGTGTGTGACATCTCCCATGACATACTTGATACAGTTCAGGTCTGCATCTTTGTAATCTAAATCCACATTCAGCCCAGCCTCATCCTCCTCAAACTCCTTCTCAGAGTCACTGTCCTCTGAAGGAAGGCAGGTAGACGTGTAATGATTTTCCTCCCACCAGGCCATCCTGAAACAAATCAAGAGAAGATGATATTCAATGAAAAATCAGAGGTGGAGGGGACACACCTCGTTTTAAATCACTGCAGTGAAACACAGGAGACTGAAACCTGCATTCCCTCTGCTCTCCTCCCCTATTTTAAACCAGAACCAAGTTTTCTATAGTTGTTATGTGTGATATTAAGAGCCACGTGCCTTTGTTATAAGCCAATTGCAAGCATGGAAAAAGTGATCATATGACAAAGGGCAAGGAGCTACTCAGAGTGGTGAAAAGAAATAACATCTAGGAAACAAAGAGGAGAAAGTTAAGTCACATGCCAGAGTCACAGACGTCAAATCAATACATAGGGGCCAACTGTGACATTTCAGAAAGCTTCTTCCAAAATTTCACTGTACACTCACATATGGGGTTCTTGTTCAGGCCAGTCTCTATGAATTAAATTATTTGTGAAGTCAGGCAGTGTATTCAGGGGGGAAAAGAACCCTTGCTAGGGGCTTAAGCTGTTTTTCCACCTTTCCACATAAATTCGTCAACCAGACACACATTTCTAGAGCATAGTGCAAAAGACATCAGCTTACAAGTAGTAGATGCAGTACAAACCATACTTTTTCTTGTGTTCTGCCTCTGCTTTTGCCTTCTTCTTTTCCTCCATGAGCCTTGCTCTCTTTGCTGCTGCTTCTTGGCGCTTCTTCCTCCTAGCCTCCAACTCCTCTGCACTCAACAAGTGCTTCCTCCTGGTTGACTGTTCCCGGAGGCCTGAGAGAAGGGTCTAGAGAAAGAAGGAAGTACCATGGAAACAAACTGCTCATCTTGAAGTCATGTCTGGTGCCCACCTTCACCTACATGCCTTTCCTATTTGTCTACTTGTCCACAGTTCTTCATCATCAGATCCCAATTCTCACTTGGGTTGGTGACCTAAGTTTTTGTGTGCCCTGATCTGTTATCAGAATTTCTGACTAGTCAAGCCCTCAGATTCAAGAGCCAACTTTACTACACTGACATCCAAATCTTTTAACGTGCCTTCTGCAAGCTGTACATAGAGAGAACTGTCAGCCCCATTTTCCACAAGCAAATGAAAGAGCACCATGTGCCTTGTCATGTCTTTTGTCTTACATTTGCTTTGTTCCGGAGAGCTCTCCCTTCGTTGCTGGTCTCTTCAGCCAAGGCTTTCTCAAGATCCAAAAGCTGATCAAATGCTTTCTTGTCTTCTGTGCTGGGTTCTTTTGAATAATCTTTGCCTTCGTACACGTACATGTGATCTTTAAAAAATAATTTAAAAGTGTAAAAAGAAACTGAAAGCCACTAACACCTAAAATGTACAGTGAGATCAAAAGAAATATGGCTTCTCTGTGACACTCTTCTACCTTCAGCACAGAAAGATGTTCACTCTCATAATTTTTTTTCTATAACTGGTGTCAGCGTCATGAGTAAACAACGGAATCATGATTTGCTTCCTTAGGTAAAAGCTTTTCATTTCAGTAATTTATACTGGCAAAGAGCTTTTTTTCCTATTTCAGACAATTGACTATTTTAAGTTGTGGCTCCATCACTGTTCTCTTTGGTCATTCCATCTCTGCCAGTAGCAAATTCATTTAGCTGAGCTATCTAGTTACAGGCAGTTATTTTACATGGATAGCAAACCTTTTCCTTCAAGCTCCCAAAATAAAAGCAGAGAACTCTGACAACCCAGAGTTACTGCTCATCAGGTGAGCTAATTTACCCAATAACTATTACACAGTTTGCTACCACTGCTCCTCCTTAAATTACCAACACAAAATACCGCTCTCTGCTAAGTCTCAGCAAATAATTACTTGTTGTCAGCAGCTGCTGTGGGAGGGATATTACCTAACCTGCGTGGCCATATTTCTGCTTCAGTCACAGATCTATATTTAAGTGCTACTGTGTGCTCAAAACACAAATTCCGTCTTTCTCACCATGACGCTAAAAGAGAGAAAGTATCCTTAGAATTTATTCTCATATATAGTGCTATATATAGTGCTATGAAAAACTAACAACAGTTGTGTGACATTTGGACTGGAAGGCAGAATACTGAAGAGAGAGTAGATTTGTTCTAGTTGTTTAGACACCATGACTCTGCCTTTCTTATCTTAAATTGTGGCATTTTTTAAGGTCATTTCCACCTGTGATTTTCATGGCCAATAATTTTTTGTTTGCAGACAAATACAATACACCTGCTATATAGCCTTCCCTTACCTTACTGTTATATCTCAGTTACTGTTTTATCTCCAGAGCTGTAGATCTATCTTAATGGTTCTCAGTGGGAAAAACAGCAGCTGCAATTTGAATATTTCCCCTTTCTTCATGAATTTCATCTGACCTCTCAAAATATTTGAATCAAAGGAAGGAATTCAGCCCCCCAGCCTCCAAAACTGGGCAAGTATTGTTACGATAATCTTACAAATAGGTGAATAAGGACACAAATAAAAGAAAAAGACCAATAAAAGCACAGAAATAAAGTTTGTGGATAGGCCATAACCAAAATTCAAGTCACTTACTTAATTACAAGTGGATTCTTTTCTTTTTGCCTGAAAAATGCCACCCCTGCCTGGGAAACCTTCTCTAGGAGCACCCAAGTGTCATGCATTTCATCAGTACTTAGATTCTTAACTTACTCTCTGTGTCCTTATCCTCTTCTTCAGTTTCTTCTTCACATGGCAGCACAGTGTCCATTACCCACTTCCCTCCTTTTGTCTCTCCAAGGATGTTTTCTAGCTCCACATCCTGTATAGTACTCCCCTCAGAAGAGAGCAATTTATCCAAGCCAAATTTCAAGATTTCACTCAGCTTTAAAAAAGAGAAGGGGAAGTTCAGTATTAATATCTTCTAATTCCATGTCAATCCCAATGTCTCGAGCTTCTCAGCCTTAAATGCAAAGGATGTATGAGTGAAGAAATCTAAGCCTTACTATTACCTGATAAAATACTTCTGCTTTAACACGCTTAGTTCTCTCAACACCTGATGGGACAGGCCCCTACAACATATTCCCTCAAAAATAACTCATCCAGACTTGAATGATCATTTTTCTTCACAGCTAAATGACAAAACAGCATTGTACTGACTGTATTCAAGCAGTTTTCTTCATAGCTAGAAAGACCAGCCTTGGTTTTGCCCCTAACTTCTTTAAAACAAAAGCTTAAATACCACAAAAATCCATGGGGAAAAAAATACCAGCATGGAATTTCCTATGGGCTCAGTTCCACTCCTCCCATGGAAACTACAATTGCTGAGATACATGCTGATGGGGTGGGGAGGGGAGGCAGTGAGGGAAAGGATACACTAATTCCAAACCTCTCCCAGGCTTAGCTGCACACAGGTGATATAATCCCCTAAATGTCACTTTGCTTGAGGTTTTCAACCCAAGTTCTCAGCACAATCCTCAGCTTTCAGGTCAGAATTACAAATCATGCCCTGACTCCCGAGACACTATGTTTGACAAGAGGTCAATAGAAGGTCAACCAAGTTTCAGACTAGCAACCAGAAGCTGACCAAGTAGTTATCATCAGCTCTGTTTGTGAGAGAAAAGCACCAGAAACAGATAAGTTCTAGAGGCAATGAGTCAGCTTCCACTTTAGACCTGTTATAATTAAAAATTAAAACAAGGAGAGGTTCTGCCTTCCTCTCTTCTTCAAGAAAACACACTCTTTTTCAACAATGGATGAGCCTCAAAATCGTAAAAACTGTCTTGAAGTGTCAGATCTTGTCTGGAGCTGGGATGTCATTTTGGTTCCTAAGACATGAAAAAGCTGTCGTGTCAACGCACATCTCCCCCAGAACATAAGTGTTTGGCTAGGTTCATATCAGACAAGAACACAGAAATACGCTGGGACGTTTCTGAAGATGTTACTGGAGTCAAATAAAGGATATAGCTCTATTTTACCTGTAAGTCTGCTGCTCCCTGAGGCTTGGGTGCTCCCAGAGCAAACTGACCCCCTTCTACAATGGCATTTGTCAGCCGGAGCTTAGAAGCAGCTCTTCGGTAGATTATTTCTTCAACTGTATCTCGCCCAATCAAGCGGATAATTTTTACAGGCCTTGAAAAGTTTAAGAAAATTCTTATTATTTTCTTTGCTTGAGGTGCACTAAAGCTGTTTCCTTGCATGGAGCACTATCCCCTCACCCACTCTTTTGGTAGGGAAAAAGAGGTAAGAATAGAATCAACAAAAATAATCAGCAGAAATGTAATGCTGATACAGTTGCTTCTTGACACAGAAGAAATGCTCACAGCAAAAGTGCATGCAAACCTCTAGATTCCCTCTCCTCCTCCAAATCTACAAAGCTCCCACCCTTGACATGTGACAAGGACAAGACTGTATGAGGCTGCAACAGAAAAATGAAGACATAAAATCCTCTCTGTTCCCCTTCTTCGATCTTCAGTCTACTGAACTTTAATCCTCCATTGCCTATGGATAGGAAAAGTGATACTGAGAGACCCAGAGAGTCAGCAACCAAAGCAGAAGTAGCAACATTTCTCACTTGTGCTGCCCAATCCGATGAGCTCTTGCTATTGCTTGCAAGTCATTTTGCGGGTTAAAATCACTATCAGTAAAAATAACTGTATCTGCTGCTGTCAGGTTCATGCCAACTCCACCTACAAAAAAAGAAGGTGGTCACAAAATATGTCAACAACAGAAACTAAAGAAGCTGAAGAATTCATGCTATGCAAGGTTCTGTCAGATCTGATCAACTCTATCTAATTCTGTCCATCTCTCAACCTCAAATCTAAGTCCCATAAGGATCTAAAAAAATGGTTAAGCCTTCCATTTCCAGCTTCCAGCAGCAGCCTAAAACCAAGCTGTACTCTGCAATGTAGTAAAAAAAGACAAAGTACAAGTGAACCAATGCAAAGGGGATGAGTTGTCAAGCCTGATGAACACATATTCTTCTGCTAGCAGGCAGATTAACTCTGCAGTGATTGGCTTCACTGAGGCTACAAGGGACTGTCCAAGTCATGACTTGGCTGCAGCACAGGAACAACTAGCAAATGCACCGCTGAAACACTGGAAAACACCAGGCCAACTATACAATAACCAGAGCCTAGGTATTTATATGACTTGATGTTTTGAGGTTAGAATTTGGGCTCTCATGGAATCAAAAGAAAAAAAAAAGTTAATTTTTTTTAATACCCACTATGGTGACTATATACTGTAGTTAGACAGGGGAGTCTACTGCCTTACATTTCTTCCAGCTTATGCCAAGCACCTCTTCCCAGTAATCAGAACATCCCTGCAAGTGGAGACAGTCATGTACCTGAAGATCTCTGTCCATAATGTAACAGTAATGGACATACTGTTAGCACACCTGTTCCCAGCTGAATACGAGGTGCTTTGGCCAGACACAGCAATGTGCAGTAAAAAGCAACTCTTAAGTCTGGCTGACATAGGCAAGGAGAGTTCAGGCAGTGTGGTGAGAGAGACACTTACTCCTACCATCCAGCATTAGGTGCTTCTCTTCTGTCTCTCTGCATACTCCCCTCAATGCCCTGCACTATCACTGGAGCCAGTCTCATCCAGGAAAGTCTGAGCAGAAGCCCAAAGGAAGACCTAGCTCAAGTTCAGTGCTTGAGATCAAGCAGAGTGGATTCCCTCCTCTGGAGACAAGCAGAAGCCTGCCTCTGCGCTTACTTGAATAGAGAGACAGGGAGGTTTGAAACTGTGGAGAAGACACAGATCTGCCTGAGAAGAAGCACAGATGGCAGCCCCATGGTGTTATCTGCAGTCTCAGGACAACAAAAAGGCTCTCATTTGAGTCTGTCTGCCAGCTAGAGAGCATGTCCATGTTCAGCGAACTCAAGAAACAATTCCACCAGCTTACTTAAAGGCAGTCTGCTCCTGCCTGAAGTCTGGTGCTTGCAGAAATAAAATGCTAGTGACATTCCTTAAGCTCAACCTGGCACAGAGACAGGCATTATGGGACTTGGAATAAAAGGAGTAACTCAAGTGGCTGCAATATGAAAAGTGTCTTGGCATCAGCTGCCGAATGGAAAGCACAGAAACCAGATGTCCCAGCTGAGAGACCGAAGTTCAGGATGTGTCTTGTCTCCTTCAAAAATCCCCCACATGAACAGGTTCTGCAGGATTCAGAACTCCCTGAAATCTTCCCAGAAAGTGCAAAAGAAGAATGCAGAAGCAAGATGAGTTGTTTGTCTGTCATTTCCTTACTTACCTGCTCTGGTGCTCACAAAGATGGGCTGCTGACCAAAGTTCTTAATGGCAAGGTGCCGCTCTTCACCCCTAACAGAACCGTCCAGACGCTCGTAGCTGTAGCCTGTTCAAAAGAAAGTAACATGTATGTTTCTGAAATTCTGTCTGTGCCTTTACCCTCTTACCTCATTCTCTACTGACTCACTGCTGTCCTGAACCTTTTAATACTAAATCCTCCTGCCTCGATTCTGATTTTATTGCCTTTATTCTTTCCCAGTTAAGCCTTATATAAACTGAAGCGGTGACCCTGACTTCCAGATTGACTGTTGGCAAAGGGTAATTTATCTGAGTCTGAAGCAGACTCAGCATTTAATCTACTGCTTGGAAACAGAGCAGGAAAATTCAGAGCCAAAGTAAAAGAATGTTAGCACAGAGTCCCACTTCAGACTGTGCTGTGCACACTATTGGCCCCACAAAACAGGCTAACAGCCATTGGATCCTCCTTAAGTGAGCTCTCACAGCCTTCAATGTGTGCTTTCCTGTTAGCAAGCAGTATAGGATATGGCCCTACATTTGGCTTTATCCTGCATTATTAGTTGTCCAAAACCATAAACACCAAACAAAAGCCTCTTTCATGGCAAATCCTAAGTAGGCATGGAGCCATGTGGATTGAAACAAAAGAAAATATCCCAAGAACAATTTGCTAACCTTGCCAAAAATGGTCTGATCCAACCTGCCCTCAAAGACATGTTGGGGCCCCACTGCCAACAACTGTTTTACTAAAAAAATTTAATTTCCTGGTATGAATGTGGCCCAATTTGCTTTTTGTGCTGGACAAATTGAATCTAGAGCTAGCCTATTGCCTTCAGTGCAATTAGTTCAGGACTCAGGTACATCACTGAACACAGGTATATAATGAAACATCACTACCCTGCCATCTATTAGCTCAATTTTATTGGGTAACCAAAGATGAAACATTTCAGTGCCAGCTCATTTCAGGCAGGCGGTAACACAGCAAAGAGCTGAACTCAAGACCCTCCAACTCACAGCACCACTGCAAGAATGTGGTTTCTATTTACTAAGCAATAAATCCTCATCACAATCCCTTCCCCATCCCAGGCAGATAAAACTCAGAGGAACAATATATGGCAGAGATCATTAGAATAAGCCAAAGCGTGCAGAACATACCTCTATAGTCCATGTAGTCTTGCAGGATATCAAGCAGTTGAGTCATCTGAGAAAAGAGCAAGACACGGTGGCCACTGGAAGAACAACATGAGACACCATAAACCTCAACATACTGTGACAGCATTTCCCAGAGTGGTAGAGGGGTTGCAATAGCTTAACCAGTCACTGTTAGTCACTGTTACATCGCAAGGCTTCACCGCCTCTGTACACTAAGCCTCACAGTCACGGCCCATTCCCTCACCACATTTTCAGCCCCACATGCAAATGCAACCAGTTAACTTCATCTGCCATCATAAGTTGCACCTTAAATGCTGGGAAAATGTATTATCAGCATCTCTGTGACAGTAGAATATGTCCTCCTACAGCAAATGATCCTCAAAGATCAAACTCTGCCTACAATTGTGTATAAGAGAGAAATCAGCTCTTCTCTCTCCCAGCTCTAGGCCTCAGACAGTGCTCTGTTTAAATCAAGACTTCACTGTAGAGCAGATCACAGGTGTTTTCAAGTCCAGAATTTGCACAGGACTGGTCCTGTGGCAAAGACATCCAAAGCAGAGGCACCCATTCACAAGGTGCTATACAGCAGAAGGACAAAGAACTCCACAATCACATCAGAACTTCCCAAGGTCTGTTGAAGCTCTGTGCTTTGGAAGTAGCCAAAGGGAAATCACAGCCCAATTAAGAGAGAAGGTAGAATTTGCATCATGCAGGAGGCACTGCTTCACAGATTGCATAGGAATGCAAACCGCAGTTTGATTTGCCTCCCATCTGAGAGATGTAGGTAAATGCCCAAGGGCCTTGTGTTCCAGATTCTGAAGTCATCAGAGCTTAACACAAGGAGTTCTGAAAATGCCATTCTCAGAGCTGAAGTTTCAGCTTATTCGTGGTTTTTGGTCCAGTGAAATTTCTTTTTCACATTTGCTATGCATTCTGCCTCCCAGGCTAACACAGGCATGGTAGCACAAAGGAACTCAACTGATGCACTGGAAGCTACTCTCAGGAAACTCATGGCCAAACCAGACATGCTGAATATCATGTCAGATAGTAATTCTCCCAGATTGCCAAATATAGCAAATATGAGAACATGTAAGAGAGTTAAGTGGAGTATTTTGAGAAACAGGAAGCTACAAAAATCTGCCCTCTCTAATGCAGCTCCTTATACTGAAATGACTTCTTCCAGGTACTCAGTAACATGCAATAAACAGGGTAGTGCTTGTGTTGTGATGAATATCTGCTCAATCTATGACTAAATAAAGTAGCTTGCCTTCCCAGTTTACATCCTCTCCCTGTATCAACCCCACTCTATCTTCCCCACCCCAACATGACATACCCAGCATACAAGAACGAAAGGAGTTTATCCAACAAACACAGCTTGCCACTGGCGTCAACAATATGGTCCCCAATCTCAAAGGGTTCTGGCTCAACACCTGGAACAGAAAGGAGTTTCAGAAGCAGACCAAATACTACACAAGTAACAACTCTGGGCAACCTCAGCATGTCTACATTGACAACTATTGCCAAGCAGACCCCCATGATGCTTGCTTGAGAAGTGATGGTCCTTTTCTGTCTCTAAAGAACACCCTCAGTGCTTCACAAAGTGCTGTGATTTCACTGTTTAGGTGAGAAAAGATGTGCAAGTGGAGAGCTGCAGTAAGAAAGTCAGACTTCACACAGTCCCCTACTTCATTCCTCCTTACTGATGAACTGTCATGTGTTGGAACTGGTCACAAACTCACAGCTGCTACTGATTCAAGTACAACACTGTTTATTACTTGCTTCTTTTTTTTAGCACTACACTGCCAAACAATAATAGAAAACCACTGTGTAAATCAAAAAACGTTTTCTGCTTCAAGAGAGAGAATAGCACATTCTTACCATTGAAAAGGTATGGGTGGGCAACACACTTCCGAAGCTGAATTAAGACATTCTGAAGTGTAACCTTCCTTCCTGTTTCACTTTCAAATGCATCTGGAACAAAGAGCACAGAAAAAGAACTGAGCAATAAAGCCCATGCTCAATCAATGGGTATGACTAGGAACATCTGGGTACTGAGCACTGCTCTGTAGTGCTTCAGCAGTGCAGTATCTCTCTCTGCATATCACTTATGCATTTGAATCTCGATCTTAAGATTAATACATCAGTTTTCATGGACAAAAAAAAATCCCTCACATTTTTTTTGAACAAGCCTTTAAAAATAAAACCTTGAAGAAAACTACTCTGCCTTGTCAAACTCCTTGGAACTTTCTGGACTCCCTGGAAAGGGTCACTGTCATTTTTCTACAAGTGAATGATAGATCTAGAAATCATCAAAAATAGTGAAAGAAACTTGGTGCAGTTCATTTAAATTTTCCAACAAAAAAAGTAATAGAGCACAGTCAAGATCTCCTGGGTAACCAAAAAGTTAAGAAGGGCTGCATTTCTGTGAGGAGAAAAAGAAAATATGTACACATATGCTGACTTCAGAAGAAGGTTCAGATTGCCTGGGGATGTTCATGCAAAGTGCTATCCCTAGAAGAACAAAGGGTCTCAATTCCCCCAGTTTTACTTTCCCTA